AAGCAATCCATTATGCGGAAGATATCCATTCCCGTTCGAACGGCCAACTTACAGAATCTGAATGGTGTCCGCTGAAAACTAACAAAAGCGCAAGGCCGCTTCGACCCCACGCCCCATACTGGTAGCGCTGTCCACGCTTTAACAAATATTTTCCGACGTGAGTGTGCTAAGGCACCGTTAGGTATTCTCGCCCGGGACTTCGAAGTTTCAGTCGAGAAGCTTTCAACTTTTCTAGCCAAATCACCTTGAACCACCAGCATATTTTCAAGAAAGTGTTTAAAGAAAGATCCAACAAATTCAAATGTTGAAAATGAGAAAAATGAAAGCGACGATCCCATAATGATGCTCGAAACACCCCTTTCGGGCTATACGTACAGTACCTCCGAAGTAAATGCACCCTGTAAGAAGCATGACGCTGTCCTGGTTTGAACCGAAATGACCGATGCTCGGACTTTGGCTGCGTAACTTTAGCTTTCTTTTGGGTTGTTCCATAATTCCTGTCCGATTTTTGATCAAATTCAAATTTCTTCAAGTCGAATTAGTGTCATTGCGAAATATGTTGGTATGTCAAAGAGTGCATCTAGACCGTTAGCCAGGACGTTTTGGAAGGTCAAACCCGCATCGGATAACTAAGTAGAAGTCGAAATAGATCAATGATGAATAACGAACGTGTTATGCTTACGGTTCAAATAGACGCTGTTGCAAGTAGGGCAGTAATGAAGATCAGCGCTGTAATAGGCTGCTAGTGATCGTGGTTCGGTCGCAATGGCAAAGACAATACGAGCTGTGAAAAGCAGTCTCTTCCTTGGCTTCACGCGCTTTCGATAGAGTCTCTTACGCCATGAATTTGAAGTGGGCGAGGATGCTACCACCTGAGTCTTGCAGCAGGCACTTGGACACAGCCGATCCACCATCGCTCACTATCTCATTGAAAACGGCTGGAGCAGTACGAAGGGTCGATGGGAATCACGTGTACCACCAGTCTGATCGAGAAGCACGTCTGACCATCTGCGGAAGGATTTTCTTATGGCCTCTTGAACGGGATTTTCCTAGCCGATCACATATAGAGGACTTCTCAGTCCACTGTGACAACAGCACGCAGCACACCGGATGGCTACCTCGCAGCCAAGACTCACCAGCTCAATCAAAGCCCAAAGCCTATGTAAGAATGATGGTGCTCTTGATCCGTCAGATTGAGTAGGTCCTCGTTTTCATGATCACTTTGCTATATGTAGACAACTATTGCAAATGCCATCGTGGAACAGCTGATGGGGTTTGCTGCAGTAATGGCACGGAACCGTCCAAAACGTCCCAAAATCTCCCTTTCTCCGAATAGACGCTCGACCTCACATTGCAAAGATAACTCGCCACGTTCTGAGGGAAACTGGCTGGACCACGATACCATGTCCATCGTATAGCCCTGGCATCACTCCATCGGGCTATCCCCTTCACAGTGCCTTGAGCAGCAGCGGCGAGAGAAAAAAGTCACTAATACAACCACTCCAAAAACGACCTTGCTGAATTCTTCAGCTCAGCTCTTCACCAATTCTAGGGAGAAGCATCCAAAAGTTCCCTGGCGAATTTATGCATATTTGGACTTATAATAATTTTTTGATTTTTTATGGGAGTTATATTTTTGATCAGTTGGCTTTAGGGAAAGACGAAGCTTGAAGAGAAGAAAGTGTCGAAATTTGGACAGGAATGTGGAACAACCAAATGTTATATGCAGTAGACAACGAACTCGTTGATGACGTTATCAGGGAAACTGCTGTAGCCAAAGATGTTTGAGCCACGAAAAATGCATTGGAACGGCACGTTTGGAATGGCTTTTCGAAGAAGTTCTAGTCGCTCCCATGGACATTCGTACAGGAAATTCATGCACACATGGAACGTTGCTCCTGAAAACAAATGTGATTTCACTGAAGGAAAACCTTCTATGTACGCCAAACTTTCCTATATATTCAAAAAGCAACCTCCCCAATTCTCCATGGACCGAAGTTGGTTTAGTTTCTGCGATATAAACGGGGCGATCCGTAACATATCCTTAGTACGAACTCGTGTCGCCAGTAGGGATTGATTGGCATCCCTTGAAACGAGACATTGATCATGTTTCAGAAACAAACGCTCTGGCTCCTACATTATGGTGCCTTTATGATCGTGAAATTCCCGAAAACGGATAAAGTAATAACGAAAGGGATCTGTGATTACCATATGAAGGTCGATCCTCTTCACGTTACCTAGAATTTGAATTTGAAAAAATTTGTGCGGATTTGCTACGAGGGAGGTCTTCCAGGAAATGCCCAGCTTTCTCGAAACGGTTTTTTGCATGATATATGGAGAGGTACGCGCATGGAACACAGAACTGTGGTTCATTTTTCCTGAGCGGCCCTCTGAATACCAAAAAGGAGCGAAGAAAATTTTTCAAGGAACTGCCGTTCTTAACTTTCTTCACCAGTTTTAGCCAAGTCTACGTATAAAGGTTGCTGATGGTCCTAATAGATATGACATAAGTTGTTTACGCCGACCTATTTTTCGCGAATTTGAAACGCCAACACAAAATGCAAAAAGACTGTATGGAGATTGATCGCCGACCACTCTTACCAACCTTTTTTTGCAATTCAAAGGTGCCGTCATGGAAACGAGCACAGTCTAGCTGTCCATGCACGTTATCCCTAATATCACGCAATAAAAACCTGTTTCGAGAAAAGCTGGGGCATTCCCTGAAAACCTTTCTTAGGTCGGCATTGCTGCTGCTTTCCTTGTATTCAAGCGTTGGCTTAGCTTTATCAGTTCGCTCTGTGCGACAGTCCACATCGGGCACACATTAGGAAGTTCCTTGTCGTTGGAAATGTAGATCGGGGGGGGGGGAGGAACTCTATTATGCTCTCCGATACTAAAGATAAGAACAGTGGGGCTCATTATACATAATCACTCATTTAAGTATACTTCTGATGAAGAATGTGGAAGAAGTCCTGAGATGCTTCCACATCTACTCTTGTCATGGTACAAGAAAACGTCTGAAAAGGGGTTGTCATTTTTGCTCAATCAGGCTAAGGGTGTAGGAGCTCTATGGTGGATGGCAAGGTACAAACAGTTGGGTGGGAAGTGGGCAGTATTTACGCGTGCAGTATCAAATCGTGGTCAAAAGTGCACCAAAAATTAGTCATCTCGTAATAACTTCCCTTGGGCTAGAATCGCTCATATAAAAAGTAGGGAAGGATAACAAGGAGTGCCACCCCCCCCCCTCTCAACTACTTTCACCGTTCCTGGGATTTGGAAATGGAATCAACTGCGCCTTCCATTAGGACAATTCTTGTTTTCGTCCATCACGCTCGGAGAACTCCCTTAATCAGCCTACAAATGTTTGTATGTAATCCCTTACCTGAGAGTAGTATCCGTTATCAATACACCCTTGTGCTGCCGCAAAGCTTTCGCAAACGCGCTCGGACCTTCTTTGTCAAGGATGCTTTTGAAACCATCAGGTGGAGCACCTAGAAGTGGGATTGGAATGCAATTAGCGGTTCAAGTCAGCACTTGTTGACATTCTTATACCATTATCCACTTTTGGCACTTCTGGAGTTGCCCGCCACACTTTCGCATCAGGCACACCGAGAGGGGAAAACGCTCCATTTATCTAACAAAAGTTGCAAAAACCAACCGATTCCGCGAAAATGCTGAGTCACGGCTAGTAATGATTAGTACTGCATGTAGTCGTGCAAGCGCATCTCAATGTCACCCCATTCTCTAGATATCGGTATTGAATGAAAGTCCCACGACTAGCTTGAAGCAGAGTCAACCCTGCGTTGCGCAGTTCGCAACGGCACGTTGAGAGATCCTCAACGCACGCTGTATGGGCGGAGACACAGACGGCTCGAGCATGCGAGTGTGAATGTTCGCGCGAGAGAACGTGTCTAATCGGGCGAAACTGCGCAACGTGGCCGTTGAGAACTGCGCAACGCAGGGTTGACTCTGCTTAAAATCGAGAAAGCGTGAAATGTACCAACTAAGAAGCAGGCGGGCTCCCTAGGAAAGGGACGATGCAACTCGCTGCAGGGGGCCCTAGCGTGTAACAGGCATGACCCGGCGTTAACTGCTTCGCGGCCGTTCGCCCACCGAGCAGCTGAATGGTAACAAAAGCGTGCTGTATGCTGACGTTATTTGACGCCATCATTTGCTCTTCATTTTTGGGCATTTCTTCGAACTATCGCATCCTTTAGCTTATTTACTCACTGCGTTGTCAACGTAACGATGGTGTTCGACATCATGCGAGCTTGTCTTGGTCGCTGCTTGTGAAAAGCGGAAACCAAGAACAAAAAAGGACCAGATCTCCAGGTTTCAGGCCACTTTTCTTTATTTTATTTNCACCGCTGCGCGGCTATTTCTGCTTGCATTTTCATCGTGAGTCCATTTCGTCGTGGATCGCCTTTAGGCACGTGGGCCTACTCACCTTCACCTCGGCCATGTATCGAAGCAATTTCAGGCCACTACTTCTCGTCTCAGAAATGTACAAATTATCTTCGATAAATGAAGTGGTGACAGCTCCGTCGATGAAAGTCGGATTCGTCATGAGCTTCTTCAGAAAGTTCAAATTCGTCTGCAAAATCCAAGGATTGCTCATCAACTTTGGCCCCACGTAAACGTTGCGTAGACAAGCGCATATCGCTTTATGGCTCAAAATTCTTTTTGGTACGGCCCAATTGCGATGACGTGGCCGTTGCTGGTTTGCAAGTGGAATTATACTACAAAAACGTTACTTTTCATCATCGAGAACGAATTTACCTCGATCCCACGAATTTTCGACTCGCGAAGGCATCGTAGCATCCTCTGCGCCGCCAACTTGTGATTAGAAGCGTGAGAAATAACCTAAACACGCAGAATCTTCATCTACCCATTGATTCGGTAATGCTACTGGGTTGCTTTCGTTTCTGAGTTCCAGCTAACCTTGCTGAGCAATGGCTCGTAGTGTTTGCTTACAGTCCCTCCGTCGTACGCCAAACCGTCTTTACGAATCCCCATACCGTCCCCAATACGATACACCTGGAATTATGATTCAGTTGATAGTGACCTGTCAGGTTCCTTTGTAGCTTTCTCAAGTGTTGGCCACGGCTACGCGACCTCGGTATCTGTTGGTGATAACTTTGTTCAGCGCTACATAGCGGACAAATGAAGTATACCCTCCAGGGATGGTGTCCCTGGACGTGTGCAAGGGCGACAATGCATTCAAAGAAAGAGGGCGTTCAGAAGAGTGAAAAACGACTGTAGTCACTGCTCTATCGGCACCTTTCTATCTGAGGTTCTTTATAGGGAGCCGTACCTTGAGACGTCCATACTGCGGCCGAAAGTTGTTAATGGGATCCTCGCTGGTGATTCGACACTGAATAGCGGCTCCGTTCAGTGCGATGAGGCCCTGTTTGAGGCCCAGTTCTGCCAAACTGGCTCCCTCAGCTAAGCGAATTTGCGAATGTACTATGTCAAGCCTGAAACACGCTTCAAATTCGCTGATAGCACGTATTAGCCACAACAGATACAGTGCAAAACTCTTGAAAATATAAAGGCATCTCTGGGAACGACTGGACCCAGGAAGGATAAAGGTTTAATGGCTTGCAATCTACTTGATCGACACGATGAAGACAGTGCGAGGCAAATCAGTCATTATTTCGTGCATGTGCTGTTTTCTTTTTGATTTTTTTTGCATTCGTCTGTAGATCACATTATAACAGAAGATTATAAGTTTAGGAGCATAGGCTACCGTAAGCCTTTCGACGTTGGAGCGCGCAATGTCACGTGTCATCGATTTTCCATGTGTGCTCGCCTCCCACTTCTCGTTTTCTCTGCGCTCTCTCAACGAGGAGAGAATGCGTCGAGCAAACTCACCAACTATACTAAGCGCCGTTTATGTAGAAGGTGGAGGATGGAACGCACATCGGTTAGGCCTCACCTTATGAGGCGGCACTTGGTGGTTCCCTACCGCCGTCTATGTTCGCTACTCGCACTAGTATTGGCATTCATAGTCTCGTTGAGAAACTCACCCAGTCACTTCTTCCGTTACACTATGAGCAACCTGGAGGCAGGCGTCCATGCCTATGAAGTAGTAATTCCCCTCAAAGTCAACGAGATACTTAACTGTGCCTGGAAGAGATGGATGAAACTAGTGATCCAGTAACATCATTGGTCATTGCCAATGCAGCACGATGTCAACCGACATGGGACTAACAATGGAATGTAGGGTTGGAAAGGATGTATCGAACCAATGTGGCTCATGGGCAACGTCGGTCTAACTTAGTACGATAATCTGCTGACGTGCGATAGAAAACACGAGCGAACGCGCGTCGTCGTGAAGCAAATGGAGTTGTCGCTGTTTTTCGTAGTTTTTTCGCAACTGTTTGGAGCAGTTAGCACTTGGTAGCGCTTGTCATGTCGATCCTGCAGCCAGAGCATCACCTATGAATGATGCCGTCACAATTCCAAGAATTTGACAGCGTCATCATTTTCCCATAAATATCAGATCGACAAAACGTGAAACTGAAGTCAAACTCCTGCTTTGCCTACTCTGTGCCAATGCTGATTCCCCGTACGGTTAACACAGCAGATCCACTTATCCAGTGGCGACATGCTGCAGCCTATCGCCTCTGCAGTGCGACGACATATATTAGGCGTTTCAGAAAGTTCTGTCGTTTTTCGACCCGAATTTCAAATGCATGTATCTCGGCTTAAACCAAACCTTTCAAGTTGAAATAAAACCGTTTGAATGCGCTAACCTTCCGCTATAAGAGACGTTTGTGGTTACCTTTGTTCAGAATGCTGGAGCTCTGGAGGCGGTGAACTGAGGGAAGGTCGTTTTAGCATCGGGTTGTGTTTTGAAGCATTTCTCTTCAAGGGAACTATCGAGGCCCCCAAAAAAGTGAGGTTGATAGCCAGAGGTATACTGAGTAGGATATCTGCAGCACCCCTTCTTAGCCTAGCTGGTCCAACTTGTGCAGGGTTGGTTGTGCGATATGCGTGTAAGACAACTGTCAGAGATGTGTCCGTCCCTTTATAATGAGAAATGCTGAACCCATTTTGAAGTTTTTGGTGAATTTTGACATAATGTAAGAGTTCTCCTCCACTGTAACAGTTCCACCTGATACTGGGAACTGGCCAGCCGCTGACTTGATGAAAGTTGCCATAACCCTCCTTCAGCACAGTTTAAGTTTTGCAAAGTTTGTAGAGCTTGATCGCCGTCGAGCTATTCAGCAAAGCTTCGTGGGCTGTAGAAAAGAATCCTTCTTCATTGTACGTCGCAAATCAGTAGAAAGGCGAGTCGCTTACATCACATAAAACAAGCTAGAAATTGAGGAACGACCTTTCAATTGGTGATTTGTCGCGGCACGCCCCTATCAAATTTTTTGGACTTTCCAGCTACTTCCGTATAGCTTGGCTCCACAAACCATATACGTCCAGGTTGGGCAGAACCTCCTCAATGGTCCTACGCACGAGTGCCTCAATCAGAACTTTTGGCTAGTCGGTGGCAACGTCCGATATCCGACCACCACTCTTATCATACCCAAGGCTCTCGCTTTCGTTACAATAACTTTTTGAACTACTGCTTCTGAGCACATTTATTGCGAATCTAGGCCAAGTGCATCGTTAATATCTTGAACTGTTCCCGCTACTTTCAGGTCTATTTAAAGCTAGAAAAAGAAAGTCATGCCAACTTGCTCATCGAGTATACCGCATTCAAAGCTCTTGAAAAAATGTAAGAAAATCATTTAGAAAAAGCTGAGCTAAACGTTGGATAGAGCAGAGAATGCTTTTCTCTGCTCTACCCAACGTTTAGATGATGGTATCCACACCGACGGCAGTTTCTCTAGATTAAATGAATGTAAATGTAAAATGAAGCATCCAAATGTGGAGTGTCAGAACAACGACAGAACTTTCTGAAACACCTAATAAATTGCGGGATAGGGTAGCCGGTGTGTGAATCGTGCGGTACAACATTGACCAACATTTGCAAAAGTTGTCTAATTTCTGAAGAGCCTAAACCACGTGTATGTGAAAGCGCTTGAGACGCTCTGCCAAATGGTATGGCGATTTCCTCAACATCCCATCCGTCGATTACAGCACAGACGACGTCAACATGGACTGTAGTCTGCGTTGCGTCAATGGGACCAAAGTCCAAGCGGTGCGTTCGAGCTCGTCAGTTAAACCGCCGTGAGAATCAAAGGAGTTCGAGGGATTCGAGGGTGCTCAGGAATGAGCCGCCTCGATTCGGGTTCCTCGCGGTGAAATGTTGTTTCGAGCGGTGCAATAGAAAACGGGCCATGTGAGAGCTCATTGAACGCACCGTAGCCAGGATGAAGCGTCGGCTCTTTGTTCACGGTATACCTACCCACGGAAGATCCGGAGCATTCGGTAGAGATTCTAGAAGAAATCGCGGGGAGGGGGGTCTCATGTCCAGTAAAGGAGGGCCATTGTTGAGTTGCAACGCTCAAGGTTGGCTGCCACTCACCCACCCCGTCAGACTGCTTCACCCCCTGTGCTTACGGGGGGGGTCCCTACTTCAAGAAACCGGTGACGCCGAAGGAAGGATCAGTACATGAGCGGGGCGTGCGAAAGGCGTGGGAGGCCACCTCACTTGAATGCCCCGGCGTTACTGGATGGAACTTCGATCGCCAAATTACACTTCGTTAAACTTCAAGCCATAATGACTTCCTGAAATTTGGTTCGAGCCTATTGCATGGTGCGTGGGTCTGGGATCTCAATGTGGTCTTGCACGCCAGGGTTGCGAAACAAGGTACACCAAGTGCGTTATAGACTCTACCTTGGTGCGATTTGCGTTTGTTGCAAGATGACCTTGATCGTTTTCCCTTACGTGTTGCAGCCTACCAAGAGTATTATTGTAGGAGCTGTGTGAAAACTGTTTGTCTTGGAGGTCGGAACAGTACCGAGGTTATCCGAGTATACGCAGCTGAAAAAGATTGATAATATTAGCACAAACCAGCATTCTGATAGCCAATGTGACGAGCGAGCGCTATAGCATCGCTATACAAATTGGATCGTATTCCCTCATCCAACCTTCGAGCTGGAGCCATTTCCAGGTCTGAAAAACGGTCTTTTTAAAATCTGCCACTCTCAGGTGGAAAAAAGTAGCCTCTTATAGGTTACCAGTTGGCGCCGCACGCATTGCGCGCGCAACACAGATCTGTGGCGAATTTTGATGGTGCGACGAAAATTTTCAAATTTGGCTTGATACAATACGAATATCTGAATTCTCCGCTAAATTCTATGCGCTCTTTCTTCGTCAACCATTATCCTATTTTTCTCGGTCCTCGGCCCGGACAATAAATCTCGTGGCGAACTCCGTCTACTTCGGTGCGTGCCCTGCCGACCAATAGCATTTGGCTCCCTTCTTTTCGCCGACCTCTACCCCCTTTTTCACCGGTCTCTGGGACCTCTTGGAACCAAATTACGACACTTTTGGCAAACTCCGCCCACTTAGGTGCGTGCTCTACCCAGTAATAGCAGTTGAGCTCTTTTCCCTCACCAACCTCTAACCCCGTTTTCCCCTATCTCTAGGACCTCTTGCAACCGAGGTGCGTGCTCTACCCACTAATAGCATTTGACCTCCTTTCCTTCGCCGACCTCTACTCCCTTTTTCCCAGCCTCCTGGACTTCTTGGAGCCGAGTTATGAATTTTCGTCGCAAACTCCGCCCACTTTGGTCAGGCCCCGCCCACCAATGACAGTTAACCTCCACTCCTCCACCCACCTCTATCCACCTTTTCCCGGCCTCCGGAGCTTCATGGAGCCGAGTTATGAATTTTCGTCGCAAACTCCGCCCACTTTGGTCAAGCCCCGCCCACCATTGACAGCTGGCCTCCACTCCTCCATACACCTCTATCCACCTTTTTCCGGCTCTTTAAGACTTCCCCGACCCGAATTATGAGGGCTTGTAGAAAATGCTGTACACTTCAGAGCGCGCCCCGCCCATTCTGGGCGGGCCTCCGCCCACGTCATGTATGCAGGAAACACCTTAGACATTGCTCCCTTACACCAAATTGTTTTCTGCTCTGTAGGCTTTCTCCCAACCGAGTTATGAAATTTTTCATAAAGCACTGCTTTTTTGGAGAACGCCCCGCCCACCGGGTGGGTCTCCCTAATTCGATGTGACTTACCAATGCACACCTTACCCACTTTTTGGCCCAGTTTCGAGGTCGTTTTGTCACTGAAATCGAAATCTTGGTCTTTGGTACAATTCATTTCGACGCACGCCACGCCCTCTGTGGGCGGGGCTCCGCTTAGCTGATGTGTGTTTTGTATTACGTGAGACCCTGCCCACCCATCCCACACTTGACCCGGTCCCTCCAGGCGGATCCCGAGGAGCTAGGGAATTTCGTGACAGACATACAGAACGACAGACAGGGACAGAACGACAGACAGAACGACAGACGAAGCGCTTTATAGTAGTAGGATAGGTCATGACTAGGTAAATAAATGGAACTGAAGGGGTTTTTGATCAATTTAGTCATTGGATGCTCCATGCGCACCGGGAAAACAGCGTATACAAGGTGAAACAACAGCAATTCAGAAGACGTGTTGATGTTTTTTGTTTTGGCCTACTAGGCGATTTCTGATATACACCATTGCGGAGAACTCCAATAGGGTAATCTTGGTCAAATGGGCATTGTCTGGCTCTTAAGCCCCAGATAGTAGCCAGTGGTGCCTCTAATCACTCACAACATGAATGCAAGTAAGTGGTTAGATGGAAATTTGGCTACGAAGTGAGCAAGTTGTTTGGAATCCCACCCTAACGATCAGTTCCCATTTTGCACAGGGATCAAAATAGAAAATAACGATATGTACGTGTCGTATTTAGAGTGAAGATGCCATAGCCGACATACACTTTTGCTGCTTCAGTTGCAGTGAGCAGTCTCGTTCAAACAAATGTACGACATCACCATATTGGTCAGCAAGAATCTGTATCTCGATGTGCCTAAACAATAGAAGTTTCACCCCAGGCCGAGAAAAATGAAGTTATTTGAAAAAGTGAGAAAGGCCTGGCTTGTGTCTTTAACAAGACACTTGCTTTACGACTTTTTGC